TCTGCTGTTAGACCACCTGCAACACTCAAGTCCTACCCTGTCTCCACCTACTCTACTCTCTTGTGAACTCTCAAACCTTGTGTATGTACCTCACTTCTGGCACTTATCACAATGTGTTCTTTGTTCCGTGGCTTTTTTATTTTTTAAGAGACAGGGTCTTGCATTGTTGCCAGACTGGAGTACAGTGATGCATTCATAGCTCACTGCAGCCTCGAACTCCTGGCCTCAGGTGATCCTCCCACATCAGCCACCTGAATAGCTGAGACTACAGGTACATACCACCACATCCAGCTCATTAAAAAAAAATTTGTAGAGATGGGCAGGGGTCTCGCTATGTTGCCCACGCTGGTCTCAAACTCCTAACTTTAAGCCACCCTCCTGCTTTGGCCTTCTCAAAGTGCTTGGATTACAGGCATGAGCCACCATGCCTAGCTCATGGATTTTTATGTACCAGTCTCATCTCCCATCCTTCACCACAGGTGTTTGTAAAGCTGGGATCCCTGAGTCCTCAGCGGCAGAAGTGTAACTGTCAGAAGTGGCTTGGTTATGCTGGAGTTACAACAACCCTCATGCATTAGAGGCTGAAAACATGACAAGTTTCTCTCTCATCATGTTGTATGTCCCTCTCAGGTCAGCAGGGCGTATGTTGCCTGACATCCTCACGCTGGGATTCAGGAGGCCCCATCAGAAACTGATGTGGCAGTGGGGGAAACAGAGGGTCTCACACTGGCGATTAATTGTTCCTGTCTGCCAGTAACATTTCTGCCTACGATTGATGGACCAAAATCGGTCATATGGCTCTACCAGGAGAGGAAGTGCAGAGAAGAGTAATCATCCCATATAGCTGGGAGGGGAAGAATCATACAAGCTGATGTGAGGTCCCTATACCACAGTAGCTAATATGATATCTGGCTTCTAATTGACAATCACTAGACATATGTTGAAAGAATGAGCAAATGAATGGACTGATAAGTAGTTACAGAAACAAAAGAAGGGGCCAGGCTTGGTGGCTCAGCCTGTAATCCCAGCACTTTGGGAGGCCGAGGCAAGTGGCTTGCCTGAGCCCACGGTTTCGAGACCCACCTGGGCAACTTGGCGAGACCTCATCTCTACAATAAATAAAAAAGTAGCTGG